AACTTCAGATCGCAGACCACTGTAGGACAATTGTCCTGGAGAGGTACTCTGGTGGGGACCTTGGGTCTAAAGATGGGTGGAACAAAAAGAGATAAAATTTTAATCCCTTGTGGAAGGTGTAATTACCTATATGGACATTTCCAGTTTAAGAAGTAACAGGACAGAAGACTAGTCACTAAGTAGCTGGTTGGTGAGAAGGGATAGAGTTGAAGAGGCACCAGAGACATTCTGCTCACTTTGAAGTACTTTAGGGGCATCTGCTCAGCTCCAGAGATCAGAAGAAGAGAAGCAGGTCATCTCATCAGAAAAGAATTCAACACTCAACTAGATTCTCATGCCTGGAAGAGTGTAGAGAGGTGGGTGATATGGATTTTGCGGGGTGTGTGTGCATAAATCAAGTCTGAGACCGAGGTACAATGCCCATGTCCCCAGTAAAGACAGCAGAAAAGTTGGTATCCCTTTCTTTCTGAAGTCTATTGATTAGGGGCCCCGATCCATGCCAGGGGTTCTCTTCCTCTTCCTCCTCCTGAGTAAGGCAGGAGTCTACGGAAAGTTCTTTGGGTTGAACAGAAGGTTACTCTGGGTGGTCAACATGGTCCAGTATGTGCAGAGGATGCAAAAACAAACAAGATGTACCAATAAGAATACAGAGCATGATTTAAGAAATACAATTGCCTGGGTGTAGAGCAAACCCTTAACTTACGAAATGTACTGCATTTTTTCGGATCATAAGATGCCCCCCCCATTTGGAAGGAATAATAGTTACTGCTGCTCTAGAGTTCTATTTACATTTACATTGGTGAATATTATGTTATTTATGTTATTAAATATTTTACCACATTTTTTTGCTTCAAAATTTTTTTCCTATTTTCCTCTAAAACCTAGGTGATTCTTATGGCCTGAAAATACAGTAATCACTTTATCACTCCTTAACTCTGAGTAAGTGTCCAAACAACTTTGATTTGAATAAATATTGGTATATCAAAGCTTATTGTCATAAGCTCACAATAATTGTCTTAGTCTTCTCAACAGTGAAGTAACACAAAGAATTTCCAGTACATAGCACCCAGGCAAGGACCAAGTCTGCTCATGTGGGATTCAGCACCTTCCCAGCAGGTCATGTTCTTAAAGATTTGTGATGATGCTCCTTACTTTCTACTACTACTTTAAAAAATGGTTGTGACATAGCCCGGGAAAGGCAGCCTCGATCATGTCACCTCCCTCCTTTGGAATGGGAGCAACGATACTTAATGTCCCACTTGCCTTGTAAAGTATGAGGATCAAATTCTACGAAAACACCTGGTGAACCAAAAAGTCCCATGCAAAAGTTAGTTATAGTGGAACTCCTGGTTAGACAGTAGCCCTCTCTTCCAGACAGAAGGCCCAACAAAGGAACTAGCATCGACTGGAGCTCTTCTCTATGCCATGTTATCTCACCCAGGACCATCTTATGCAGTGGGCGATCATATCCCATTTGACATACGAGGCACATGAGGTGAAGGAACTTAGCTAACATGAGCTACCTACTGAGTGGTAGGGCCAGGATTTAAACCCTGGTCTGCTGCTCAAAAACCCAGGTATCCTTAGCACTAGCTTCACATCTACTTTATTACTTAGGTCTACCAAGGAAAAATGAAAGCAGCATTTGGATTTTACATAACCATGAAGGCGCTCATCGTCGCTCTCATCCTCAAGTTTTTGGTTGTTCTAAACTATGATATAAAACGTGCTAAACCTTCCCAAAGGGCTACAGCTGGCAGGATGAAACAGTCAGCACTGCACTGTGGAATGGAGCCCAAGAGCTAAAACAAAGGCAGAGACTGTCAGTTGTAATAAAAGTAAAATATTAAAACCTCAATTGCCCCGCCTGCCAAAGACTGCATCCCTCAGCCCCTATCAGGCACACACACAAGCCCCAATGACTGCTGATTGGGATTCAGTGATCCAGAGAGAGCCTGGTTTGTTTGTTTTTTCAGCCTCATCTGCCATAACTAGTAAGATGCATACTTTACCAATCATAGGTTAGAGCCAGCCCTGTCTAGCCATAGGGACAGTAAAGGGGCCACACTGCTGATTTCTCTTGTGTGTGGTGGAGGTGCCAGGCAGGATGAAAAACTGGGCATGAACAAGCAGCTCAGAGACCTGGGTGTGAATTCCAGCTCCATCACTCACTACCTGGTCACCATGGGCCAGTTCTTAACTTACTCATTGGAAACACTTCTTCATGTTTAAACAAGTACCGCTCTAAAATAAATGAGATGATGCAGGTAAGGTGATCAGCAGATGTCTGTGAACACAGTAGGCATCCATGAGGGAGTAGATTCTCTGATGTTTATAATGACTCATGCGCTAGTAATTGTTTGCCTGTTTGTTTGTTTTTAACAGACACTCTCTGTGGTAGACTAAAGATGACTACAAATTCTTACTACTTTTCCCTTTGAGAGATGGGGTCCAAGCCTGTCCCTCTTGAATCAGGGTTGGTTTTAGTGACTTCCTTGGCCAACTCAATGTGGCTGAAGTGCTGTTCTGGGATTTCTAAACTGAGTTCATAAGAAGCCTTATATGTTTGCCCTGGCCTCGTAGCCATGAGCTGTCATGCAGAAGTCTGAGCACCCTGAGGCCACCCTGCTGGAGGAAGCCCCACTACATCCTGAGAAAGGGCCTCAGGGAAAAAGAGAGGCTGGGCCAGCCCCAGCTGCTCCAGCTCCAGCTGCTCCAGCCCCAGCTGTTGGAGTTATTCCAGCCCAGATCCCAGACACCGGCGTCTCTGCCAACCCCTGCCCAAGCTGCAGATTCGTGAGCAAAATAAATGACTCTTTTTACTTTAAGCTGCAGCGTTTTGAGGTAGTTTGTTATGCAACAAAAGATAAACAGAACACTCTCTTTATCAGGTTTTTTTCCCCCTGAAAATTAAAAACATCAATTTGCTGAATTATATCGTCACATATTAAATTTACGTTGATTCTGTAGTTCTCAAATCTATTTTATTTTTTCCTTTTTTGACTTAAGCTTTATTGTGGTTTTTTTTCCCATTACCCTTTAGTCCCCTTATACCCACCTCCCCCCAGCAATCACCACATTGTAGATACTGAAAACCATTCTCTTTGTGGACAATGTTAATCCAAGCATAACTTATTAATTGGCTGACCAGTGACATGTATGAGCTACTGTGTATGTGTGTGTGTGTGTGGGGGGGGCGGTTATGCATGACAGAGTTTAAGTCCTTTAGAATTCTTCTAAATATCCAGTTCCTCCCATAGGAAAAATAATGCTACAAATAACAGTCCTTCATCTTAACGAACTTGTGAAAACCGTGCTCTGAAGCCAGACTCATTGAATCCAGTGCTTGAGCACTCCACCCTCCCAGTTCTGTACAAAGCTGGTCTCCAGCCCATGACCAGCTATCCAGTAATCAGAGCGGTTTATTGAAGGCCACTACTCACCTTCCTCCTAACCAGTAGGAAACTACCTACTCTGGCAAGCTTGCCATGAAAGTGTTAGGACAAAGTAGATTTCTGTAGTTGATTATCCAGAAAATCTTCAAGGAAAACCCCTTTAACTTTCATATATGTTCCACTTTGGAAGGGCCTTGTTGTAGGATAAGACTTGGCTCTGAAACATAGAATACTATTTACCTGATGCCTTTTAAATAATATTATGTAAACTTTGGGGCATGTAATCAGCATGGTGAACTCAAACATTTTGCTGCCTCCCAAATCGACTATGCTCTTTTTCATTTCCTGGTTTGTCTGCAAAGCCTGCCTGTCCTTCTAGAGGGTGTGTGTGTGTGTGTGTGTGTGTGTGTGTGTGTGTAATCTTATTTAACCTTCAAATGTCCCTTCACCCATCAAGGCAGTTAATCATTTCTTGCCGACCTTGCTTCTTCAATCTGTAAAGCCTTTTCTTTAACAAGAAAGCTTATTTTTTTTTAAGAAGCAACAACAACTCACAGTCCTACAGAAAACACAGAGAAAGAACATGAAAGTTGCTATAACTCCTGGCGACGTCCCACCAGACTGAAATAGGCTGACGTGGTCTGTGTTTCAGGGATCATAATTCAGTAGCAGCAACGAGTCAATTAAGATACCAACCAGAATGCTGTCTGTAGATAAAGTGCTGAGAACTGGGGGTGCAACATAACCTGAATTACTAAATTCTAAGGGCTGACTGGTGATTTGCACTTCAATCTCCTTCATGCTAAATTCCTGGCAAAAGTTAGTAAGGAGCCACTCAGCCTAGGAAAGATAGGTCCTCTATTTACCTTGGCAAGAACCTGACAAACACATTCAACTCCAAATTTTCCTAACTCAATGGCTTTTGTTTGACCTGGAGTGGGAAATGCCTGTTTCAATCTGAACACCAAACCTGCCTACTGGGATTGGCTTTTATATTCATTCATTAAGGATGCCAATCTCAAAGGCCATACAAGCACTAAGTGGCAACCAGCATTTTGCATCACAATCCACAAAACTCATGAGTAACATGCAGAAAGTCCTAGCTGAACACTCTTCATTCTATCACCAAACTTAAAGGAATTACATTTTCAACCCTCATTATTTAAGAACAAGCATAACTATGCAAACCATTCCAAGCCAAAGGCTGAACAAACACATTGAATGGTAACAGTTATGTGACACAAAATCCACAAAACACAGACTACCACTCCCTCTCCCTCTGTGAAACTTACAGAGGATCACCCTGGAACACCGTTTATCACAAAAACCAGAGCAATAAGGTTTCCGACACTCATCCTTGAATTAACTATGTGTAACATGCCGATTTAGAATTATAACAGAGTCTACATTATAACTGATACCCAAGGCAACAGAATAACTAAATGCTTGATACTTTAAGCACCCAGATGACGCAGAGGGAGGATTTACTGTCCTCTCTCATTGACCAACCCTGGTCTTCCTCCAGAAAGTGGACGAGTCTCCGGCACTGGACAAACATGGTATAACACTGGTATATTCCAGGAAAGAAGAAATGTGACAACTTACTTAACAGTTGGCAATAGAGGGCCTGTAAACTTCTCTTCATGGTATCATCTGGTCCTTCTTGTCCTCCAGTTTATTCATGATTCTGTCTAGGAAATTGCGAGAAGAAAATTGTTACATCTGGGGAATATAATTCATGTTGATAATCAAGAACTCCATTTAACATGATCCTAGTTGTAAAGGCTAAAACACCTGACTCTGAAAAGGAAAATTCTTTTTTTTTTAAGATTTATTTATTTATTTTGAGAGGGGAAGGGAGGGAGAAAGAGACGGAGAGGAACATCAATGTGTGGTTGCCTCTTGTGCACCCCCTACTGGGGACCTGGCCCACAACCCAGGCATGTGGCCTGACTGGGATTTGAACCAGCGACCCTTTGGTTCACAGGCTGGCACTCAATCCACTGAGCCACACCAGCCAGGGCTGAAAAGGAAAATTCTTGGAATGGATACACCACAGTTTAATTTACAACAGTGTATGCTATAAAGCTACCAGTTAATCAAATTGGCAAAATCCTGAAATATGCATGCCACTGAAGGAAACTTATTTGGGTAACTAGAGAGTAAGAATCTGGCTTTGGAACTTTCAAGGCTTCCAATCAACCTCCCCTGAATCTCTGATCTTGAAACAAGAGAAATAAGAAATTTCTAGTCTCATTTCTACTATGTTGCTCACCAAACAACCCAAACAGCTTCACCATACTTGAAATTGTATTGCATCAAACAACTTTTCTATCACTCTCTGTTATAGAAGATACCTCTAATACAGAATGTTTGGAAAATACAGCTAAATAGAAAATATAGATAAGAATATGTGAGAAAATACAAATTACCTATTTGTCTAGCCTTTCAAGTATGCATTTCTAATGGCCTGTTTCATTTTATGTATCATACATTCTAATTTTTCTCCATCGTAGCACAAACATCTTGTGTTGTATTAACTTTAAAAGGCACACAGTATTAAGTTAAATTCCTAGAAATGGAATTGCGAGGACACAATTGATGGCTTTGGAACTATATTGCCAAATAGACTTTCATCAGTACTGGTACATGAGGATATCTGTTGGACTACAACCTACCCAATGATGAAGATTTATCATTTTTTTTCCTTCTTTGCCAAGTAAATAGGCAAATGTTCCATCTCATGGCTTTAGTTTGCATTTTACGTGTTTATTAGTCATTTGTCTTTAAAATTTATTAAACTCACATTTGACAAAGATTCCTCAGTCAGACTCTGGAGCCGCCTTCTTAGGCTCTTCCATGCATGTCCTTGTCAAACCCAGTTTTAGCAAGAACCCTGCTAAGTCAGCATCACCGGAACTGCTACCCACCCAACGCTCAAACTCTAATCGCCCTCAATATATGATCAGGGCCCTCATCCTCCACCATGCTCAGGGGACGATTACCCTGGCCTGTCTTCAGTGAGAATCCCGACAGGTCGGGTTAGCCAGAATGCCTTGGTGTTTCTTCTCAGTAATTTTCCACCCAATGACCCCCAATCCTATTCCTTGCTAAATTTTCACTTGCCCACACTATATGAGGGTTTGAGTCCAATCTCTCTCTCCCACTGTAAAATCCCATTGTAGTAGTCCCTATGCTATTCTGATGGTCCAGAATAAAGTCTGCCTTACCATCTTTAACAAGTGTCATTAAATACTTTAAAAAATTTATTCCTTTGTTCCTATTTTACTTTCAAGGTCGAATACTTTTTTCCTTAACACAGTCTTTAACCGTTCTTTACTGGCATGATGTTTTCACGATACCCCAAGTAAGAATTGATTTGTCTTTAAAAAATTTAACTGAGCTATAATTCACATACCTTAAAAGTCAGCCTTTAAAGTATACAATTCAGTTGTCAGTATATTAAAAAGTTGTGCGACCATCATCAGTACCTAATTCCAAAATACTTTCATCACTCTAAGAAGAAATTCCCATGTTCATTAGCAGTCATTTCCCATCATCCTCTCCCCCCTTTCCCTGGCAACCACTAATCTACTATGGATTTGCCTATTCTGTGCATTTCACATAAATAGAATCATACAATGCATGGCCTATTGTTTCTGGCTCTTTCACTTAACACAGCGTTTTCCAGGTTCATTCATGCTGTAAAGCATCCTGTTTATTTATTTAAGAATCACACACACACACACACACACACACACACACACACACACACACTATGGTTAGAAAGGCCATCCTCAGTCCAAGATTACATAAATAGTTGCCTGTACTTTATTCTTGTACATTTTTTTACTTCTTTTCTGGACTTTGTATCATGTTTTACTTCTTTGTTTCTCATTCTTCTGCTATAACAGTAACTGTTGTTTAAATTAGTCTAGAATGTCCTTAGTTTTTATTCTTCTTTTAAAGATTTGCCTAGTTCTTTGAACTTGTTTATCCCTCCAAATTAAGTTCAAAATCGTTTTACTAAATTCCAGAAAAATAATCATTGGGATTATAGTTAGAATAATCTACTTGCTTTATTAACTTAAGAGAGACCTGATCTCTTCAAAATCCAAATGTGATAAGGAGAAAAATAGATGATATTTTAGACGGTAGCTCTAGAGATCAGAAGAATTTTTCTTAGAGGGTGAGAAGTGCTCTTCTTGTGGGCAGGGAAGAGATCAATGACTTGTTTGGGACAACTGAAACCATCTCTCTCACGGTGTCATCTGGATGAGGAAGAGGGAGAGAAAGAATAGTCAAATTCCTCTCCGTTATAAAATAACAGGAAGTTTGAGTTCCCAAAGGCCAAGCATGAGGGGTTAAGTGATCCAGAAATCAGGAAGGCTGAGATGATAAACCAAAGATGTTAAGAGACAGAAAAAATAAGAGGCAATTCCAAAAGACAGCCACAGGTGGAAGCTAAGAATAAAGGGTCAAGAAAGAAATTCTTCATAGGAAATGATCTGCAAACCTTCAGATGTGTGATATTTAATTTTTCATTACTCTTTTTTATGCTTTTTGTATTTATGTATCACATTTTTTTTACTTCTCCCCCACAATACTTATCCAACACTAGTATCCTCAAAACCTCATCAAATGTCTTGTACAAAATAGTGCTGTATGGGTGGTGCTCAGCTGGGCAGTGAAAGAGAAGGCACTATGACCCAAGACAAGGGTGACTGGGAACAAAGGTAGGGTGCACTGGAGCCATAAGTGGTGGTAGTGGACATCTATGGAAAGCTTAGGGCATGGTAAGTATTCAATACATGTACAGTGCGTAAGGAAATGAATGAATGAAAGAATAAAGGGATGATCAAGCAACAGGACAGCAGAGAAAGAGTTGTAGTTTAAACTGATCAAGGGGAAACATATGTTCCTCAATCTTCTCTGGAAGTTCTTAGAGGTCTTCAAGAAACTGTTAGACTTTCCACAAGGCATGGACGAGAGCCATTTACTCACATATCAAGAAAAGACTGAGCTCATAAATCTGGGATACTTGGGCTCATCTGGGCCACACAGGGCTATCCTAACTACAAGCACTATGTGGCCTAGTGTTTGTTCAAAACTAATGTTTATTTGGGCCTTTCTGTGGAGTTTTGCAGTGTTTCTCCTTCATTTAAGTTACACCATCTTATTAATTTCTAGGCATTTTATATTTATTCATTTTGCCTCTGTGATGGAATTTGTGTTCTCATTATATTTTCTAATTGCCTCTACATGAAAATGACTGAGTTTTAATACGTTAATTTTGTGGCCTAACAGAACTCACTCACCCACTATAATGATGCTTTCTCAGCTGAGTCTCTTAGGTCAATTGTGCTGCTTTGGATGGATGGAGAGCCACAACGAGATTCCATCAAAAGCCTCTTTTTAACTGTACAGTTGGAAACACTAATTGCATCTGGTGCCTCAGGAAATAATTTAGGAGCTCCAAGGATGACAATTAATTTCTGGAATGAAATTCTGAGAAAGTACAGAGTTTTATAGCCAAAGGCTAAATAAAAGTAGAGAGAAAGAGGAAGATGATGCAAACATTTGACTAAACACGCAGGGGCAGCAGCGCAGGTGGGGAACTCACTGATTATTAGCTCAGGAGGAACGATGGGGTGCAAGAAGGCTGAACCACTCACTCCCTGAAGAGAGTGAGCCCGACAGAACCCCACCTCTCCCACTGCCTTCAATGGGACAGTTATATCCGTGCCATTGACTCAGGAGGCAATTCTCCTTTGTGGACCACTGAAAATGTTCCAGTTAGAAATGTCCATGTGGCAAGTTAAAAGAAAAGCTCTGATATTTGATATGCAAACTGACTTGAAATGATGAGTTCATAAAAAACAAATACAAAATAGCTGGGAAAATCCTGGAAAACAAAAGCAAAAAATTCTGAAAAAGATGGCGCTGGGGGGGAGAAAGCTGCCAGCCCTATCAGACATAACATCCTCTAAGCCTCTGTAATTAAAACAATTTGATACTGACACATGAATAGACCCAATTTTATATGGAAATTTAGAATATGATCGAGGCAGCATACCAAGTCAGTGGGCAAAAAGGTGAGCTCCTAAATACATCTTGAGAGAATGGCAGAATAATATGAAAAAAGATAATTGTGCTCATTCCAAATACTATACACCAGCAGGGGCTCCAAATGGACCAGACATTTATTTATTTATTTTAGTTTCTGATCATTCCATGGTCTTTATCACATGCTGTCAGACTGCCCAGCAAAGATGTTGTAACAATGTCCACTGTAATAAAGAAATAATGTATAAATGTATGAGTTTATACGAACCACAGCCTCGGCCTTATTAAATTTTATCATTTTATCTAACTGAATAGGTGAGACTCAGCACCTCTGTGTTCGTTTTAATTTAATGCTCTTTGTTTACTAGTGAGATTGAAACACCCCCTCAAAAGAACACAATTCCTAATATTTGGTTTCTTTTTGTGCAAACTGTGTGCTGACATCCTTTGATCATTCAGTCCCTCCTTTCAAAGAGCCTGGAAGTGGCCAGATGTCAGTTTGAAACTTTGGCTGTAACAACAATCGAAGTTTATCAGGCATTTGTAGAATGTGGATCCTGAAACCGTATTTCTGGCAAGGGGCTCTAATTCTGATTGTGCTGTTTATCTCAGTCAAGTTAAAAGA